TAACCATTTCATCAAACTCTAACTCGTCGTCTTTTCTTCTTCTTCATCAACTGCATCTACATCTGCTTGTTCGGTCTCCAAAGGATCAACCACTTGTGTCACTTGAGACTCTCGCAGCATAATGTACAACTCAATAGAGTCGTACCCAGAATACACATGACTAGAAAACATATTATGAAGATCCTCGTCATCTTGAACCTCAACCTTATAAAATATTATTTGGTTGTTACCAAAGAAAACTGGATTCTGATAAAATATTTGTGTCACCGGGCCTCGTCCAAGTTTGTCCTCCAATCGTTTTTTGAAGTACGAGAAATTGGCTTTCACGTTTAAAAGAAATCGGATGTTGTCTGTGTCTCTAAACAAAAACCCAGAGGTGGGACAAATGTATGTCTCACCGTTGAAATGTGCATTGATGACATATTGGGGTGCAAAGGCCATTGCGTATGGTTGTTTGAAGGTTTTAAGGTTTGAAGATTGGAAGGTTTGAAGTTTATGAGTTATTCGAAGGTTTGTATGTTTAATTGTTTAAAGGTTTGATTGTATCAAGGTTTGAAGGTTTGATTGTATGAAGGTTTGAAGGTTGGAAGGTTTGACAGATTAAGTGAATCAGTGTTTTGATAAATGTAACACTAAATAGGTCATACTAAATTTGAATTAAGTAAGGATGTAACCTCCAAGGTTGCCACCTAGCCTGCGCCTACTCTGCACCTACATTGTAACATGTAAGTCTCCTCCCATCACCTTCAATAGTGTTACATGCATTCAGGCATGGCTTCTCCAAGGCTGTCACCTAGCCTGGGCCTACTCTGCAACTCATGCCACCTCTTATTCGCCAATGGGGATGGCGACACCTTTCATTTTTGTACTCTTTCGCCAAGTCCAATGGCGCCTCCCTTAATGTCTAATCGTGTTACATGCATGCAGAGATGCCTTCTCCAAGGATGCCACCTAGCCTGCGCCTACTCTGCACCTACACTGTAACATGTAAGTCTCCTCCCATCACCTCTAATAGTGTTACATGCATTCAGGCATGGCTTCTCCAAGGCTATCACCTAGCCTGGGCCTACTCTGCAACCCGTGCCACCTCTTATTCGCCAATGGGGATGGCGACACCTTTCATTTTTGTACTCTTTCGCCAAGTCCAATGGCGCCTCCCTTAATGTCTAATCGTGTTACATGCATGCAGAGATGCCTTCTCCAAGGCTGCCACCTAGCCTGTGCCTTCACTGCAATAGTGACACTTATCATGCATGCATGCACCAGCTACCACCTAACTTACTCTATGAAATTTTTTTCCCTATAAATACAGAGCATAACACACTTCTCTCGCACCCACAACCGTCTCACTCTCTACTACATAAGTATTTCATAATCTCTTACAATTTCTAAGTCTTTCATAATCTCAGGCATTTTCAACAATGGCTCTTCTCACAATGGGGTATTCTCACACAGGCACAAGGGACAACATTGCATCATTTGTAAGTTTCTTTTATAGTTATACATTTTTTATACTTCTGGTAATGCTTTGTTCATCTTACTTAATCTTACACCTTTACATTATTAACTCAGGATACCAAAAGATTCAGAATCCGGTCTCACAACTACCTGGCTCCCGACCCATTTATCGTACCATATCTGGAATACGTAGGTTTCAGACATGTTATAAAGATCTCCAACTGCACAATATATTCAAAGTTCATACTTGCCATATTGGAAAGGTGGAGACCAGAGACCCATACATTTCACCTACCAATAGGTGAATGTACCGTCACGCTAGAGGATATGTACATGTTACTGGGTCTCCCTGTCGACGGTAAGGCCGTTAACGGGTTGGTTCAACAACCCAATTCTCTGTGTGAAGAATTGTTGGGCAGGGATATGGTTGAAGGTGGTGGTGCGAGAGGTCAGGGTATACTACTAACTGAGCTTAAAAATCATTATGCAACTTTGGAATTAAACGAAAATTCCTCCGAGCAAGACAGGGTAATAAAATCTAGAACTTATCTAATGATACTATTTGGGAACCTTTTTATTTCCCGAAAGTACGGGAAATAGTGTAAATTTTATGTATTTAAATTTAGTTAGAGATTTCGAAAAAACTAGAAAGTATAGTTGGGGTTCTACTGTTTTAGCCCACCTATACAGTTCCTTGTGCAAAAATGCAATCAAGGAAAAATATACATTTTATGGCTGCGCTTTTTTACTTCAAGCCTGGGGTTGGTGGAGGATGGAATCCCTAAACCCTGTCAACAACAACACATTCATTTTCCCGTACGCAACAAAGTAAGTCATCTAGTTATATCATTTATTACTGTTCATCTCTTCACCAAATATATGTTAAAAATAAAATATTTTTCATTTCCTTTAGGTATGCGTGAGGGGTATGGATTATGGCAAGAATCCAAGATTCAATGTCGCACTATACCGCAATCTATTGGATCACCTAGGCCCGGATGATGTACGTCGTACCTTTCAACTTTTCTACTTTTAAATTATTTATGTATTACGCTTTCATTAACCTGATTTAATTTTATGCACAGTTTTTCTGGAGACCATATTTGGGTTTGGGCCATGAACCAAACCCCGAGGATGCAGCAATTTGGAGCGCCAAGACTGCAATCATACGATTCAATATTATGGAGATGCACCACAGCGACCGTGTGAAGATGCAGTTTGGAATGCATCAAGAGATACCCAGTGATCCGACTTGTTTGTCCTCGTGGCATCTCAAAAGGGTCGACGCCCAGTGGGGTCTTACCAACTGGAAAGATTTTTCTCCAGAATGGTGTAAGATGTGGCATAGGCATCACCGACATGACTTGCAATTCCCAGTTTTCCTCAATCATGGTAATATGCGAGACATGGATCAGTATTTATCTTGGTACAGGTCGGTTAGTAACCCTGAAATGCATGTGTCTCATCCAAGGTATTTGGTTGACCCACGAACACAATGGGCACAACCCTCGTTTCTCCAACAACAAACCCAACACACATCAACCTCCCACCAACCCCCAGACGAAACAAAACCACAAACACCCAACCACAGTCGCCACCACAACACAATTACACCCAAATGTCCCACAACCAATCACAATCACCACCTCAGTACTAATACCCCCATATGCCTCACACCCAACCGCAACTCTAATCACAATACCAACACACCCGCGTACTCCACACACAATTTCAGTCTTTTGTATATCCCAATATGGGCCCCTCAACATCCAGCCTTAGCCCTGATCTAGGAATGTCGGAAGATTATGAACCAACCGACCCAACTTACCATCAACCACAGTATTACCAAACCACCCAACAGCCTCAATACCAAACACCCCAAGATTCATTTCCTTTCTACCCCCCGTACTCAAACGATCAATGCTACAGACCCACCATGGAACCCCACCCACCGCCAACACGACCAAACTTTGAGGGTATGGATAACCGACAGTACCAAAGCGGATCTTCTAGATATGGAGATCTGACTGATTTCATGGATCTGGAACGCATTGACTTCGCTGGGCCATCGACCCTGCCACAGCAGGAAACGCGATGACACCCAGCACAGGAAAGGCGAGGACGGGGATGCAGAACCAGGGGTCATTACCGGATTCCGGGAGACCACTGATTAATCTGTTTTTTTTTTAATCTGTATTTTTTTTATGTAATACTTATGGGTGTAATCATTTTTTGTAAATAAAAAATCAATTTTGTTGATCCTATATCGAATACGCAACGCACCGGATTGGAAAAAAAACGCGAACATTGCCCTAGAAATGCACTAAGGCGCCATCTCACTTGCCTTAGGGCAAGCCCTAAGCACCTAGGCGCCAAGTGAGATGGCGCCTCCCCTAAAATAATAGGTGTAGGCGCCAAGTGAGATGGCTCCTCCTTTGGGGAGTCATCTGAAACATGGTTATTTGCGTAATTTTTTCCGAAACATAGTTATTTGTGGAAAAAAAATTTAATACTTAGTTATTGTAAAAAAAAATTCGAAGAATAAGGAATGAATGCACCAAATATTTCCTGGTTTAATACAAAACCATGTGACTTACGTCTATTCTCCAAGAAACAAACTTTGAGATTTTCTCCATTCAATAGAGATTTTATCATATAAGTTCATCCCACAACCTCTTATTTCAACCTTTTAATCTCATGTTAAATTTGCAACCTTTACATTATATAACTTCACAAGAACAACACTCTCCTGAATATATAATATAGATAAGAAATTTAACAATGGTTACACAAGTTTAGCTGTTAATCTCTCAACACTAAGAGAAACACATCTGATAATCGATTATATAAACATCATAATCGATTAGAGCGCAAGTAACATTTCATAATCGATTATTTAATAGCCATAGTCCGATTATGCCTTTCTAAAAATGGTTTTTGGCATTTTCAAAGAATTTTTTTGAAGTTCTTAGAAAGATATGTTTGAAAAATGTTTTTCAAGTGTGTGAATATACTTTTAGTACTTAGAGATCTTCACATTATTTTTAGACATTTATCCTAAAAATATTAAAAACTTAAGCATCAAATCACGACATGATTTGAACAATCAAGTTTTTTTTTTTTTATGATGTTCATTAGAGCTTAATCTTTGTTGAGTCATTTATCAAAAAGATTATTTTTTTTTAAATTATGTCCATTCTTTGATGTTGTTAATTATGTTTGATCTTGCTGCATCATCATCATAAACCATATTTTGGAGAAGAAAGGGATGCTAGGATGATGGACATTAAGTAGTTGTTATACTTGAGTGTTTCATGGTAATCTTCAATCCAAAGAGATTGTCTACATTGATTGGAAGAAACTCTCCGATGGATAGATAAATCTCAACAATGATGGTGCTTGAAATGTCCATTTAAGTTAATTAAAAAAGATTATTTAATTTCACTTTTCATCTAGATAACTAAATTATGTATTCAATTCATCAAAAATATTAATAGAGTGTACAATTGAAAAAAAATATGAATACTATCACATTGAAAATTTTATGATTTTGACATAGTTTCATTGCATTGTATCACGTCTCTGATGTTCATATCAGACACTATTTCCAAAATCAGTTTTTCCAAAACATCTTTCTCCACTTCAATAGCAATGTCTTCTGCATCAACATGGATATTCATCCATAATCCACGTCTCGCAAAGTCCTTTTCAACAACCTGCTGTAACGTTATTGGTGATGGCTGAGGGACAAAGTGCAGGTTAACAAGTTCGTTAATTTCTCTAACCAGAATTTTCTTCTCAACACATGCTTGGAGGAAGTTTGGATTTCTTGATGAAAATTGAGGTAGAAAACCACTGTTCTGGTATAAGTCCATGAAACATTGGATGATACTGTCATGCAGGATTTTACTATCGTAAAGTTGGTCAGTTAATCCATTTAGTTCATCGAAAGTGGATGAATTCGTCAATAGATTTGATAAATAACTCTTTATCGGTTCATCGCATTTCAAACTGAAAGCCTGCAGAACTTCACTTATGATATCATTCGATTTGTTCATTGGATCCGAAGAGAATGTTACAAGGTCTGCAAGATGGTTATTCTCTTCAAATTTATCATGTATAGCTTGTACTAGTGATCCATCTGTGCAAGAAAACATATCTATGATTATAATCAATCTCTTCTGTTTATGAAAACAACTTATGACATGTTCATAATAAGTTCTACGAGATAGTTTATGAAAACAGTTCGTCTTTATTTTATGTCTATGATCATAGAAAGTTGAAGAAACTAGTTATATAGAGGTTGTTACCTCTAGGAATATCATAATATTCATGCAAATTGTCGCCGGAAAGACTCTTATTGACACTAATATCTGCAACACCAAAAACCTGTAACTCATCACAATACGTTGCCACCGGTGGATCCTTGATTTTCTGAGCAGAAGAGTTTCTATACGAACAATTTTCCTCGTCTCTACGAGGTGATCTTAGAACCATTTGGTGTTTGTTATGAGATGTTACTTTTGCACCTTGATCCTTCATGATCAATTTGTGGCCAGTACTAGCACAGACCTTATTTGGCGAATTTCTTACAGAAATACCATCTTCTAAGTCCTGTGAGCCGCAGGGAAATTTACTTGGCGCCGAATCAGTTCTCCACTCCTTTTCTTTTCTCCTTACTCTCAGGACATGCCTCAACTTTCTCTTCATATCACCAAATGGAAAATGCGAAGGCTTATTACTTTGAGCATCGCTATTCTCAGCAATTTTTTTCACATTACTCGTGTTAGGCTTCAAAACTACTATTCTTGAACTCGAGTTAGACCTATCAAAAAAACTTCCACTGTTTTGAGCTTTATTCAATCTAGTCATTCCATTTTGTTCGGCTTTCACTTGAGATTTCTGTAAGTCATGAATCTGTTTCACCAACAGAGAGTTTGGATCTTGCAGAAGCTTAACAAAAAGTTCCTTGTTCGAATATAAAATCTGTACAGCGTCTAAGAACTGATTAGGCTGACAGTCAGCAGCACCATCCTTTCCTCGAGAGTTTCTGTCGAAAAAACTTTGATTAACAATCATTTTTGTTACTTCATTTTCCAAATCTGCAATCTGATTATCCTCCACACAGATATTCTTACAACTTAAACCTCGTTTTCTTCTCGAACTTACCTGTAGTCAAAATTTTCTATCAATGATACTTAACTTTCATAAACATTTTATCACAAGATTCAGAACTTACATCAGCAGCATGAGGGTACTTTTCATCAACTGTGCTAAGCACATCCGAGTTAATTCTGGATTTTCGATTTCCTGCAGCTAGAAAAAAAATTACCAGTTCCAAATTTTACATCAAAATTCAATTTGTTAAGTAACAGTTTCAAAAAATGTTTAAAATTACAGCACATACAATTTAGACTTTTAGACCTAAAAATTTGAGAAAAAGTTTCATGCAATGTGATATGAACTCACTCTTACCAGTGGTGTGTTTATTCAAATGGCTACCATTGGAAACCAATCTTCTATCGGAACGAGCTTCATGAAAGTTAAAGATTCCGAACATTCGCCATGTGCAACCTGTTTCACATTTTTGGTTTACCAGACGGGGAGATCTTCGCGCCATGACAGAAGAAAAAACTATTATCCAAGATCTTTATAGTTTTATCAGTTTCGACAACCATGCCACAATTGGAAAATCAGAAAAATCTGCGGAAACACAAAAGATGATAAAAAAAAGCTTAACTAGTTAATGATTATCATGTATGAGAAATAATGAATCAAGTTGAGGTTCAGAATGTCATCCACACAATGATTGAGATATATCAGAATATAAAGTACTAATTGACAAATGACAGTTAATTTCAAACCCCACATGAAAATTTTCACAGCTGTTGACCCTTCAAAAAGTTATTAAGAAAATCACACACAGAAATATCAAATTTAACTAAAAAAATTTGATTATATAATAATTGAACGATTATTTATTACCTAGTAGTTTGTTGTCACGATACACTGAGATTTGAATAAAAAATTAACTATATTTTTTAAAATCATTGCATTTACCTTGTATGCAAAACGTAGATTGATGATGATCTATACTAACAGCATGATAAAGACATGAAAATTGTAAATTATATAAAGAGTAATACTAAGTAGTTGAAGAAAGCTTTGAAGTGAAGGCAATGTATAGAGGTTTCTTTGAATATACGAAAGGGTGTCGTTTTGAGGGAATCTTCGATCTTGAGCGGGTACTTAATTTGGTTGATGAGATGTTTTCGTTTCAATTTTCATTAATTCACCCACGTTGGAAGGGGCTTTCGCAACTTGGTACGTAACAAAGATAGGTTCGTGAATGATAGCTTGGTTAACAATCAAAATGCTCTAGTTGTTGTACTCATTTAATATGTAAAGACATTTAACTATGTGTAAGAAACGTCAATGACATTTTTTATTGTACACATTTATTTTCACCTCGTACTTACTAATTGGATAGGATTCTTTTAAAAATTCATATACTTACACCGAACCGTTGTTAAATAACCAAATTATTTTAGAACATACAATCACATAATTGGTAAATCAATTGAGATTTTGGGTTTGTGAAGAAAAAATAGCGAGAGAATAAGAAAATTGGAAAGAGAGTAATTGAAGGTGAGAATAAATAATTTCATTAACTCGAGATGACGATGCTTCCAAAACATTTATATAAGTGTAATATAATAATTTGGACCTAAAACAAAACATTAAAATACAACAAAATACTAAAATACAAGAAAAAGTCAAAACACGGGCCTATAACCGATTAACACATCTGGTTAACCGGTTACACAGACAAACAAAAAAACATCTCATGTCAGATGTAACCAGTTAATGTTGGATTAATTTTATTAATTCATTAAATATGAGTCATGTAATTAAAAGTCTGGCTTTAAATAAAAAATACCATAATGTGATGATTATTTTGGTTGATGGATAATTAAGTCAATAGGATTTTTATTTTGAATTTCAAAATAAAATTTAAATCCCTCTTCTCTCTCTTCATGGCTATTTGAACATAAATTTTGGAATGAAATGTCATTGTTGGAATAAAGTGTCTATATAAGTGCATCTTTAGGAAAGTGATCTTATCGGTTGATCAGAACCCGAGAAGTGTCCGAAAGATGATATGTAGTCGGGCTGTGATGTCGAGGAGAAAAAGGAGTTGTACCTGCAAGGCATTCCGACCATCAAGTAAGAGTGAGAACACGGAGATACACGCAAAGTATTAGGTGGTGAATAATGAATATTTGATACCCGGTCCTTACAAGTGTGAGGGTATATATAATGCCTCTGGCGCGTGACCATTGGTTCCTGATTTCACGCCTGGATATGCGGATTCGTGGAATCAGGTAACTATCAGGACTTGGTCAAACCGGCCAGATGTGCTCGTAACTAGCTGTTGGTCCCGAGGAAGGGGTCAGTTACGGGCATCTCTCTGGTCGGTTCCTGGTGGCCTGCACGACGTTGGTGTCAGACAGGCCAAGAGGATGCTCACCGATCATTCTGAGCCGGTGTAGGTTTGGGAGGGAAAATGGCTGACATTGCTCGACAGGTAGCGGAAAATTCGGGTCAAGGTCGTGCGGACCGTACCGAAGGAAATGTCTTAGACTGGGCCCAGACAAGTTGTCGGGCCAGTCCAGAACAGTAGCCCCTAAGTCGTTGCTTCTGGGTGCAGGAGTGATGACTTTAGCATCTGCTCGTGGAATGGGGTTTGTCTTACAGGAAATGAGTGTTTCCTGTTACGCCTTGCTTGCGGGGAGACAAGGAGTTGGTCGTTAGGACTTTTGAATTTGTAGTTGTAGTGTGTTTTAGGAAGCGTACTAGTGAAGCGACGCAATGATGGCCTAGGGCTATAGTGTAATGATGACGACCCTAGGGTTCCTCGGGCGCGTGTCTTGTACGCACAGATTGTTTCAGCTATAAATACGAGAGGAATGAGGTCTTTAGTATTTTTCGTCTTCTCTCTCAACTGCTCGTATTAGCTCGACTGTCGACCATCGTTGTTCGTTGAGTTTTTCTGCTCACAATTGCTTACTTCCATCCATTCTTCTTCTATTAACTAGTAAGTTTCCAATCCTCCATTGTTGCTCACTTTCAATAGTTTGCATTTTCGCTTTTTGCTTTTTAGAAATGCATGTGGTTAGGATTTAAGGCTCTATTTGCGAGGATGCCGTTGGAGAGTGTTGGCGGTAGACAGTGTTTTTGTAGTTTAGAATTGCCGAAGCCGCTGTGGGGTCTCCTCGGGGACCTCGTGGTACGTCGTAGACGGCTCATTAGGGCTTAGGGATTTTTCTGCAACTCCAGCCCATTGATACGCCTCAGTGAGGGTTCTGGTCGGGGATACGATCCTGATTTTCAAGCGCCCTTTCACTTGTTTAGCGGTGGAAGGGTGGTTCTGGAATTGATGTCAAGCTCATCTTTTTTCTCAGCTTTTCAGGTGTTATGGTTGATAATGCTCGAGTGTATATTTCGAGCAAATCTACACAGTCTTTTGGGAGTTCCTCAGACGAGACAAGCAGCTCGTCGAGCATCTTGGAAATTTTCTGGGACGCGCAAAATCAAATGGAACCGCAAATGGGGGAAGGCTACATGGAGATGACTTCCGCCGACCAGGGTTGTCTATTTCCTCCTGGGAATGAGGAGGGGCCTCGGGATTGGGTTGCGAGCGATCCCTGGGACTGGCCGTCATATTTTTACGAGCACCAGGAAGATGTCTTTATGGACGTGTACACTCACGAGGAGGGGGCCCAAGAGGAATGATCATTATATATCCCCGTGAAGGAGAGCAGAATCTTCTCGAAATACGAAAAGAGGCGGATCCCAATGTACGACATCATATTTCGAGAGATGGGTCTTCGCCTCCCGTTTTCTGACTTCGAGGTGACCATATTTAGGCACTTGTGTATGGCTCTCTCCCATCTGCATCCAAACGACGTCACGTTCATGCGAGCGTTCGAGAGAGTTTGTAACCATTTAAGGATAGGGGCCACCATTCCCTTGTTCTTCTACTGCTTCCACCTTCAAAGGAGAAAGGTCGATGGAAAGTGGAGATGGGTCTCCCTGAAGCAAGGCAATGGGAAGCTATTTAAAGCCTATTTGGAGTTTGTCCGCCATATTAAAGATAAATACATTTTGGTGCAGCCCTCTTCGACCAAGGAAATGTTGAACGTCTTTAGGGCCGTGCCTTCGCTAAACGAGGATGGTACTCCCCGACTGAACAAGCTAGGAGATCCCGTTGCAAAGCTGGTTTATAAGTTCTTGTTCCAATGGACGAGGAAGCATTTTGATAGTGAATTGGGCTCCTATGTCTGGAGAGAAGGGGAGATTGGAGACGAGGATCTGGAGAGCTTCGCTGTCCTGACCATGTTCGTGGCTCGGATCCCTCGCGTCTAGCGAGTTAGTCGGAGAGGTAGACCTGTGTTGGAAAAAAACGGGGAGCCCGTATACGAGCCGGGCCTCATCAACATCAATGAGATCCTCGGAACCGAGGACCCCGTTAGATACTTATATATATATATATATATATATATATATATATATATATATATATATATATATATATATATATATATATATATATATATATATATATATATATATATATATATATATATATATATATATATATATATATATATATATATATATATATATATATATATATATATATATATATATATATATATATATATATATATATATATATATATATATATATATATATATGTGTGTGTATTTCTAATAGTAGTAAGTGGTCTTCGTTTGATTGAATCTTCGTTTACTGACTATGTTTCTTTTTGTTTGTTTTGTAGAAAGCATGAATCCTGCTCAGGAGCGCTTGGCTAAGACTATTGCTGCCAGAGCGAGGAGGGCCCTGAAGGATGCACAGACTGGCTCGGGGCCAGCTCCTTCCTCGGGTTCGGGCGACTCATCTTCGGCTCAGGCCATAGTTTCTCTTTCTCCTGATGTTGTTTCCTCGGAGACGAAGAGACCGCGAGCCGATGGGAGTGTCGACCTGGCCGGGGAAAAAGGGAAAGGAACGTACGACCTGCTCCCTGATGGCTGGAGAAGACTTTTTTGAGGGTGCAACTCTCCGTCTTCCCCAGACCGAATCTCTCCATCTCGAGGGAACGGGTCGCCCGGGGAAGAGGGAGATGCTGGCGCAGGATGCTAGCAACTTTATGTGGATCTTGGAGATGGCGGTCGCTTACACTAAGGGAAGTTCCTCTCAGGAGGCAGAGATGAAGAATCTCCGGGCCAAGATGGCTGGGAGTGAGAAGGCCTTGGTCGAGAAAGATAAATCCATGAAGTTGTTTGAGGAAGAATCGGGGAGGCTCTCCGAGGAACGCAAGGTTCTCTTACTCGATGTTAAGTGTCAATTTGTGCATAAAATACATATCAATTATTGACATTTTGAGACCTTTTATTTTACTTTTGTTTAAGTTAAATAATAATTTTAGTCATTTTGCGTAGTATGTAGAGAGTTTTGAGGGTTTAATGTGTTTTTTAGTGTTTCAGCTAAGCTTGTGCAGGAAAGATGCAAAAAAATGGAGAATTTAGCTTAACCAAGCTTAAGAAGAAAGA